CTACAGCATGGCTACAGCATCCCTGCCTGCATCCTGCCAGGTAGGGAGTGGGAGGAGGCAGGCAGGCAGCAGCATGCTGGGATCTGTAGTCCCTGCCAGCCCCATCATGCATTAAAGGCAGCGGAGGTCATCCCTTGTCGCAGGTGCCCCTGTGGTTCTGGGCACAGCTTGCCTCCTTTCCCTGGTGTGGTTTTGCAGGTGGGGGAGCCTACAGCTATGATGGAGCCGAAACATAGCTGGTAGGATGTAGAGAGGGATTTGGGAAGCCCGTTGAACTGTTTGGAAAAGCCAGAGCAGGATGACAGGTACGTCCGCATGAGACCAAGAGCCCACCAAGCAGGCAAGTGCCTCCCTCTTGATGCCGGAGCCGCCTGCAGCTCAGCTCCCCTGCCTTCCCACGCAGACACCTGAGGGCAGGGCAGCTCTTTCCTTGCCCTTGTGAGCCACTCGGGCTTCCAGAGAAATCGTCCTCAAAATCCCCTCCCGGCAGCCTGCCAGTGCCTCTCTGGACAGGAGACACCCAGAGCCCTGACCCTGGGTTAGCAAGGGGATCTCCAAGCACAACTGCCACCCCCTAGCACACAGAAACCCCACCAGGGCCACTGCTTGTCCCTGAGCGAGCCCTCAACACGCCTGCCCTTTGCCTAGCCAAGCCCCCAGCAGGTCACATCGGTGACCTAAGAAACAGGGGCAAGGACCAACCCTACAGACGTACCTGGAGAGGACAGACCCAGGGCAAACCCTGCGTTTGAAGGTGGTGCATGTCCCCTCCTTTCTGTACCCTCTGCTTTGGGGGGGTGAGCGTCAGGCCCCGGCTCAAGTCACGGGGGCTGAGGCCATGTGGATCTTACAGCATCCGCGGAGGAGGAGGAGAAGAGGTGTCGGGTACCACAGCTGGCACACGGCCCGGGACGGGAGGAAGGGAAGGGCGTTGAGGAGGAGGTGGCAGGAGCCGGGAGCATTGGGGAGGAGGCAGAGGGGATCAGGAGTGGGGCTTGGAGGGTGCTGGGGCAGGGCGCTGCTTTCCCGGCCGCCTTCTTCTTCTGTCCGGAAAGCGCCCACATTCCTGCGTCAAGAGCCTGACCTCCTCGGTGGGCGCTGCCCGGCTGCCCGGCCACAGCCTCCTGCCTGCTCTGTTTTGGTTTCTGTCCCACTTCGCTAAGTGCCTCCTCATTTTTTTTTTTTATTTTTTTTTTTTCCCCACAAAGAGCCGGTCCCTGCGCCCTAATAATGCCAGGGACCGCGTCTGGCTGCCGGCTCGTACAAACAACCCTACAACAAACACAAAAGGCCACACAAACCAACACCAGCAAGACAGGTGGCAACCCTTCTCCCACCCGGTGAGAGCAGCCCTGCCGTAAGAGACCAGGGGACGGAGCCCACCCTCCAGCCGCCGGCCTGGCACAGCACAGCTCTAACCACCTCCCGGAGGAATCTGATGATGTTTAGCCCAGCCACCAGCTCAGGCTCAAGGACATCTATTTTGTTCCTGGGGGTAGAGCAGTCTGTCTTATCCCCTTGGAAGCGATGTGTGAGCAGAAGGAGCAAGATAACAAGGAGTGGGTTTAATAAACCACAGGCTAGCATCGCTGAGCAGGTACAAACAAGAGATGGCACAATTTTAATTGCCCATTCATGCCACACAAAAGCCTTGACAGACGCTCAGTGACACCTGCGGTATTGGGCCACGCGCAGTCCCATTGCCAGCCAAGCCCTGGGAGCCCGCGGCAGGGCCAGCCGTCACCAAAACCGCCTAACCTCTGCAGAAAAACTTGCACTGCAGGACAGCCACACCTGCAGGCAGCCGTTTTGTCACCGGCCTTCTGAGATTTCCCGACCTCTCCCTTCCCACGCATCACCTTTTCTCCTGCTTCTGCTGCCTTCACCGAAGGTGAGCACACCGTGTGCTTGGCTTTCCACTCGAGGGCAATGTCACAGTGCCAGGTAGGCGTGCTATGGGTTTATACCCAGAAACACCATCTCTTCTTTAAAGAAAACCCCTTTACGCCACACCAAGCGTAGCACCGTCCTTGCAGTCCTTAGACACAGGGCTGCCATCGGGGCCCCACGCCGAAAACCCCACATCCACCTGCTGCCACTTGTGGGGATCACTTTGCAGGGATAAGGTCAGCGCTTCTTCCGAGCGTGGCCAAGACCAGGTGGCCTCACCAGGCTTCACCCCATCCCCTACATCCACTTGCCCCCCCCCGGGTGACACCAGAGCCCTCCTGGCAGGATGGCTGACCTGGGGGCCCATCAAGGTTTACCTGCGGGCAGGGGACAAGCCCGGCACGGGTGTGCAAGTCACACGAAGCCCTGGTAGCTGTGACTCAGCTGGAGGATGGGAAATGCTCCGAGATTATCCCTTTCATGAGATTTCAGGTGCGTGCCTGAACTCTAACCACGCCGCTCGTGGGTGCTCCTACCTTGTGCCGGGTTCCAGGGACCCAGCCTCCTGGGCAGGGTCCTGCCCGCCTCCACCTTCAGCCCCACCAGCTGCGAGGACACGTGCTTGTATTTCACAAGACGTAGGAGCGTGCGCAGTTGTGCGGCACTACCCCGGCCCTGGGGCCAACCCAAGTCCTCCCAAAATAAGGGCAGATACCCTGGGTCAAGTCTGGCTCCAAAGCTTGTCTCCATCAGAGGACAAAAGGAGATGCCAAGAGCGGCACAGGCACAGACTAACTCCCCGACGGCTCCCCCAGCCTCCGAGCTGGAAGGGACATGCTGTTCGTGTGTTTTGTAGCCTGCGGCGGGTTTCGCTTCTGCGAAATGGTTGCTTCCCCCTCTCATGTGGGAACTTCTGAGCGAGGGCAGCATCTCTCCCCACGCACAGGGCCTCGGCCGGGGCTCCCTCATCCTCAAAGGGTGGATGAACATTGGAGTGGCTTCTCCATGCCAGCCACGGCTTTACAGGCCTGGATTGTATCCACCCTACAGCACATTTTCCAAACAGAGACATTCTAGCTCACTTAGTCATCCAGGCACGGCTCCCCGCCTTCGGTCCTCCTTATTGCTTTTCTCCCAACCTTCCCCATCTCCCCTCGACCCTTCCAGAGACGCCGGGGCTGGGGGCACACAGGGACTGCAAGGGGGTGAGACGCCTGTTTGAAGAGCGGCACAAGGCTTTCCTCCTTTGTTTCTGCTTTCTCACTCACCAAGATGATTCAATGTGTTTTTATGCACACCGAGCTATCTGAAACAGCCCCCAGGCCTTGCTGCAAGTGGCCAGCTCAGTGTATAATCTTGTTTGGAGATCTGGGGCTTTTCCCCACTCCCCCCCCCCATCTATCACTTGATATTTATCTAAACTGAATTTCATCTGCCTACTGCCTGGTGTTGCAATGGTCTTCTGTACTCTTCCTCGCTGGCATTTGTCCCCATGAACCTGAGTAATCCAATCGCCTCAGCAAGCCCTGCCATCTCCTTGCTCATTCCATTTTCCAGGTCACTCACGAACACATTGAAAAAAAACACGGGGCCTGATGCAGGGATCTCTTTCCACTGCAAAAACTGACCGCTGACTCCTCCACCCTCCTTCCTGTTTTCGTACCAATTTCGGAGCCATGCGAGGACCTTCCCTCTTGACCGGCCAGTTCTCTTAAAAACTGGGCTGCAAGCCCTGATTGAATGTATTTTGGGAAGCGGCACAGGTACCACGAGCCCAGAGTCCGTACGAAGCGCTGCCCCACCTCGGGGGTCCCTCGACAGCAGCCTTCCCACGGACCCCATCCCTACGGAGACACCCAGGACACGCAGCAGATTCACCGATCAGCTTTTCCCTGAAGTTCCCTCCAGCCCTTCTTAGAAATGAACGTCACATCTTTTCCTCCTCCCAGTCCCCAGGGGCCGGGGCAGTTGTGAATGAATGACCAGAGGCCACACGTGACAGCCAGCCGCTTCACCCTCCCTTTCCTTCTACCGAACATCGCCTTGCCCTAGCGACTTGTTGCCGTTTAGCTTTGCTTTCTAACCCTTCCTCTGCGTGATGCTCTGAGGAACACCCCCCCCTCCCAAAAGAAGGTAGAAGAAACTGCTCAGGCTCTTCTGGAGAGAGCAGAAAGGCAAAAGCTTCATCTGGCTTTTCTGCTACGACCTCTCTTCTTCGGATCCCCCATCCCTCCAACGGACTGCAGCAGGCTTCCCACTCCCGGTGTGCTTCGCGAGCAGTTTCCAACGGAGAGCTGATAGCACTTCCTATTATTTTCGTTCTTCTCCT